AAAAACAGATCACGAATAAACAGCTTGGGTGCCCATGGCAAACCAGCAGCATTCTGAAATCCATTGATAAGAAACACCAATATAAAAAGCAATATAGCAGGGCTTAATACAAAGATATTCTTAAACAATATTCAACAGTTCTCACCAAATTATAAAGAAACCCAACAACTGTACTACTCCAGCAGATTCACTGACACAAGAGGAGTATAAAAAAGACTGAAAACACTTTCCCAGATTCTGGGGACCCACAAACTGAAAAAGACCAAGAATATTGTTCTAACTAAAACCTCATGAAACACCACTGCTTCCCAATGATACAGCTAACAAGATAAACGACTTCTTCTCAAACATTGGATCTAATCTCAAACCCGTAAAATCCCCCGTACCAATGCCCGTGCCAGGGACTACCTAGATGGGAATTTCCAAATTCCTTCTATCTTGTACCAACTGAGCCCACGGAAGTCACCCGATCATAAAAAATCACTTAAAAATAACTTGGGGAATCTGTCTCACGTCCCACCATTATTGTACAAGCGAGCGGCCCATGTCCTTTCACATGCAATTACATTACTTTTAACAAGTCACTAGAAACTAGCACCTTCCCGACACTACTCAAGACAGCAAGGGTTACACCAATACATAAAGGTGGTGACCCTACAGATGTAAACAACTATAGGCCAATATCAAACTTACCATTGCTATCCAAAATCTTCGAGAAACTCGTGCAAAGGAGACTATATTCATTTATAACGTCACAAAACATACTCAACCCACGCCAATTTGGATTCAGGAAAAATAAAAGCACTAATGAGTTTTGAATATTGGTGGAGCGTGATGCCTGTAGTGGGAATTTGTTATTCTGACTGCAGCCTTTTGTTGGGTAATTAATGGTCCGAGATGGTTTATTGTTGTTGAGCCCCATGCACAAATTCCATAGGTGAGATAAGGGTAAATAAGTGAGTGAGGGCTGACTGTGGAACACAGTATCGTATCTTCGATAGTATGCTTACGGTCTTGGAAATTTTCTTGGAAATTTGTTGTACATGTGTTTGAAATTTGACTCTATTATCAAGGTGGATTCCTAAGAATTTTCCCTCTGTGAGCTTTGTGATAGGTGATCCGTTTATCATTATGTTAAGAAGGACATCTGTAGCTCTGTTACCAAACTGAATGAAGCAGGTTTTGTCAATGTTGAGAGTAAGTTTGTAATTCGGTATTCACAGTATTGGCTAGCATGACTCACTCAGGTGAGAGAAGACGTATGTAGTGTCATCTGCAAATAGTGTGGGTTTGAGTAGTTGCGATGCATTTGGTAGGTCATTTATGTAAACAAGAAAGAGAAGAGGGTCAAGGACACTTCCCTGTGGGACACCAACTGTAACTGGCTGTGCGGAAGAGTTTGCCCCATTTGTGTACACATATTGGCTTCTGTTGCTGAGGTATGACTTTAGGTAGTTGAGGGAGTGTTCTCTTATACCATAGTGTGACAGTTTTATGTGGAGCAAGTCATGGTCAACTGTATCAAAAGCTTTACATAAGTCATTGAAGATCCCCAGTGGGACTTCTTTTTTCTCTAGTGCAGTGCATATTTGTTCTAGCATGTGTATAATAGCATCATTCGTATTTTTATTAGGCCTGAACCCAAACTGACAGGGGTTGAGTATGTTGTGGGAGATGAGGTAGGAATAGATTTGCTTATGAATTAATTTTTTGAAGATTTTAGAGAGAGGGTGTAAGTTGGATATTGGCCTATAGTTGTTCAAGTCTGTTTGGTCTCCTCTATGTATCGGGGTGACCCTCGCTATTTTGAGAACTGCAGGGAAGGTAGAGGATTCAATGGATTTGTTAAAGAGTGTTGCAATGATTGGTGACAGCACTTGCGACGTTTTTTGTATATAAAGGGTGATAAGGTATTTAAATATCCTGTCTTGTTTTTTTAGTGTGTTCATAATAAGGGAGACTTCTGTTGGGTTAGTCGGAGCTAGGAACAGTGTGTTCGGGTAGTTGCCAGTGAGGTAGTCATTGGGTGGGGTATTTGAGCTTGGGATTTTATTGGCAAGGTTTTTTCCTATGGTGGAGAAGAAATCATTGAGTCTGTTTGCTGTTTCAGTTGGGGGGAGTTGGGGTTCATCTGGTTTTGTTAGTTCAATTGCACTATTTCGTGATATCTTTTTTGTTCCTAGAATTTCTGATAGGGTTTTCCAGGTCTTTTTTATATCACCTTTTAAGTTGAATAATCTGTTCTCATAATACAGTTTATTAGCCCTTCTTATCAGGCTGGTTAGGATTGACGAGTAACATTTTGTTTGGTCTCTGGTTATTTTGGCCCCTTCTGTACTGTTTTTTGTATAGGTGCTTTTTGTATTTATGGATTTGAGGATGCTGGGTGTTAGCCAGGGACTGTTCAGTCTTTTAGCTGTGATCTGTTTAGTTTTTTTAGGGTAATGCTTGTTATAGAGGTATTGGTTTTTTTTTACAAAATTATTAATACATTCATCAATATCTGTATAAATTTCTAACTCAGTGTGCCAGTCAATATTTGTCACTGCTGCTGTGAAGTTATTAATGGCTGCCTCATTGTAAAGTCTGAAAGTGACTTTAGTAGTGTCTTGGGGTAATTTGCCTAGATTAGTTATGAGGAAGGTAGGGTAGTGATCTGTGATATTATCTGTGATTATGCCTGATTTTAAAGGGGATATGGTGTTGGTCCAGATGTGGTCTAGTAGGGAAACACTAGTCTCTGTAACTCTTGTAGGTTTTGTTACTGTTGGTAGCAACAAGCAGTTACTCATAGTGTTTGTGAATTCAATAATGTGTGGATACTGGTCTTGCAGGAGATTTATACTGAAGTCACCTGAGAGTAGTAAGTGATCTTTGTTCATGCATGCATCAGTTATCATACTTCCTAGGTTTTCACTAAAACAGCTAATGTTTGACTGTGGTACTCTGTAGATGTTTATCACTGTGAGAGGTTTTTGTAGGTATTTGGATTTGAATTTAGCTAATTATATATTCCCAGTTCATCCCTTTTGCAATATTAGTGATCATTCTAGTTGGTCTGAGTAGTATATAGCTGTGCCGCCCCCTTGTTGATCTGGCCTACAGTTGTGTATGGCTGTGTAACCAGGAATGCCATAGACATCTGTAGTATCAGGCTTTAGCCAGGTTTCAGTGAGAGTAATGATGGATATACTGGCATGCAGGGAATTTAGTTATGCTATGAGGTCATTGTAATGTTTGCTTAAAGATATGATATTGTAGTTAAAGACAGTTATGTTGTTGTTGGCTCTGAGGAGTGCCTTTGATTGTTCTGCTGTGTAGTAATTACAGTTACTGTTTGATTCATTTAAGTCATTAAATAAGAGGTTGGTATCAGGATCAATGCTTGTTATCACAAGATTTATAGTGAATCTGTAGTTAGAATTAAGTATAAGACAAAGTAAATATTCTAAAGCTAAAAAATAGCACCTGAATTATTTTAACAAATGTAAATATATGAACTAAGGTAGCTCTTTAAAGCTAAAATAAAGGAGACAATATAAAAGGGACTAAAATAATTTGTGGTGAACAAATAAAGTAGTAATCAAATAAAGGAGCTTGGGAATATAATGGCAAAATAGTGAACTTATTACACTTTGTCAGTTGTGTTATATTTTAATTACTATATCTTGTATCTGCCAAGCAATCATGACACCCAGTAGCCATACTAGTGTTGCTGAAAGTGGCATGAAGAGGTATAAGCACTTAAGTCTTAGAATTAACAAAGATATTAAAGAAGAGATAACCTGCAGCCGTAACTGTATTGTTACTTTGTACACAGAAAAAGAGGTTAACATGAGTTTGTGTGACTGACTGACTGACTGACTTACTGAATAACTGACTTACTAATGACTGAATGACTGAACTGATGACTGACTTGTTGAGTGACTTGACTGAATGACTTACTGACTTGACTGACTTACTGAATGACTTGACTGACTTACTGAGTGGCTTGACTGACTTACTGAATGACTTAACTGACTCACTGAATGACTTGATTGACTTACTGATTGACTTGACTGACTTACTGAATGACTTGACTGACTTACTGAATGACTTGACTGACTTACTGAGTGACCTGACTTACTGAATGACTTGACTGACTTACCGAGTGACTTGACTGTAATAATATTATTATTATTATATTATTATTATTATTATTGCTGAGAAGAAAAAGAGAATGATTTCCATGGAATTAAAGCATGAAATCATAGATAAACAAGCCAGGTGTCCAGGTTTTGGGTTGTAGGGGAAAAGGGAGGGGGGAGCTGGCTCGTAACTCAACATTGCTCGTAACTCAGAGCAAAAAATCGACCCAGGGATGGCTTGTATCTCAAAAAACTCGTAAGTTGGGACACTCGTGAGTCAAGGTTGCACTGCATAAGGAAAATTACAAATACGTAGACCCCTAACAATCCTCAGGAGGGTACCTGACAAGTTCCTCCAAACAACTCTCGATCAGTATGGTTGTGGTACCTATGATGGAATTCATACAACAAGCACCAACAGTCTGGCTGACCAGGCCACCATCCAAGAAGTCTGGATTGAGTCCAGACTGTGGGAGTGATGATCTCCAAAATTATCAACAGGTAGTTAGGCAGATGCGTAGACTCAGAAGAAAAGTTTCTATTTTGTAATATTTATCAAATATAATTTTGTGCTGGAATGGTAACTCACTGATTATAATAATAATAATAATAATAATAATAATAATAATAATAATAATAATAATAATAATATCTTTATTTCTACAAGTACATGTACAATGTATACAGGCCTAGCTGACATCAATGACATACCACTATGTAGAAAGCCGCTTGTTATGCAGAGCATTTCGGGCAAATTTGGTCAGTTTTGTCTCACAATGTGACCCACACCAGTCAACTAACACTCAGGTACCCATTTTATACTGATGGGTGAACATGGACAGGAGTCTATTGGAAACACGTCCTAATGTTTACCTTGCCATCACCAGCAATATGGAAGCCAGCATCTGTGGAGAGGACAATCAATCGTGTGCTCTGGTTTCTCCAGTCTATCTCTCTTTCACACACAATGGCTTGCATCAGACCATCAAAGCCTCCTTCAGGGTAGTCAATGTTGCTCGCTACCTTGCTCTCTTTCACTGCATTCTGAAGCATTATATAATACCTTCATTTTATTTTCAAATATTTTAATTCTGCACACAAAAAATCATAATTATTACTTGATACTACTACTTGTATTAGGACATTTGAGGACAGTATCACTGGTCTCCCAACCCACTATATCTTACATTACAAACAACAAGTGCTAATATTTTTCCATGAGATTATGAAGGCCCACAAGGTGGGATATAATTAGTGTAAAAATGGTAAACAGTAATAAATAAAGGATATATCAGGACTTGTAGCAATAGATGCAAGTTGGACAAATTTAGATTCAGCAAGGATATGGGGAAGCACTAGCTTGGCTATTGTAGATTAATGGAGCAAACCCCCAAGTAGCATCACTTCAGTGATGTTACTTGGGAGATGCTGGAAGTCCAAGCCCCTTGCACACAAGGAAATTCTTTCAGTTACCGAGGCTAAACTCCATATCTGTGGCAAGACCATTGCCTGGTAGGCAATGGTCTTACTTCACACACTGAGTGTTCATGGTTCAATCCTCAGCAAGGGTGGAAACAGTAAGTAGAGAAAGATAAAGATTTATTTCTTTGTAAAGGTTACAATGTGTAATTACAATTTTGGTTTGCTAAGTACAAAGAAAGCCACTATCATGCTGGGGCATTTCAGGCAGACTAATCCTAGTACAGAGTAACTACTTAAAACTAGACAAAATAATAGTACACAGTAACTACTTAAAACTAAACGACATATAATAGTACACTAACTACTTAAAACTAGACAAGATAATAGTGGATAACTTGTTGACAGTCTTATTTAATCTTAATACTAATGCGAGGTGGTCAAGGTGGAGGTTTATAAGAACAATAATCTTGTAGTTGCACATAATAAAAACAATATTACAATTAATGGTTCAGGTAGTAATATTTCATGGACTGGCAGATGTAAGTAAGTTCATTCAGGTACAGTATATACAAATACAGTTACAGAGATTATCATACATAGCAGCAGATGTGTAGAGATCTGAACACAAGTTATACACTATGGCAACAAACATGTTAATGTGTTACTTACCACAAAAATGCTAGAGTCATCAGTCAGAGACAGAATATTCTTGTAACTAAATGGAGCCTCACATTCTGGACAGCTGTCAGCACTGCAAAGAAACTTTTATTTTATTCAGGGAAGAACTAAAACCATAGGGGTTATATAGTGTACAGGAATGAGTGGCACTCAGGTTGAATCCAAATAATGGGCTTACAAGTCCAGTTCCTTGGATCAAGAGCCCTTCACTGGCATCAAATTACCTCCCTTGAAGGGACTGTAAAAAATGAAGTCCTTTTTAATTTATGTAAGTATAAAATTGTTACTACAGTCAAACTGACAAATAAATATAGCAAAATATATTAATTACATCAATTTTTATTGCTCTTCTTTAAAACTAAAGCAGAATCAATGCTTACTTAAAGGGAAGTGTGGAGATATAAGGAAGAATGGCTTTGTCAACAAAAATACCAAAACCAACTCTGAAGTTAGATGTAATATTCTTGATGCTCTCCACCAGTTGTTTGCCCAGCTGGGTCAGCATCTCCTTGTCATCTTTCATTGACTTGGAACCATCCATTAAATAATACAAGTCAACTGGATAATTCTTTAAGTGCTTGTAGGTAAATTTTATTGTTTGAGCCTCACCTGTTAACAGAATAAAATTTGAGTTTGCTTGAAAAGTTTCATATGACATAGTTATGGGCTTTTCCATGTATTATATAATAAAATATAGAGTACAACTATGTAGTCATGGAAAATATACTTTATTTTACACTTACTTAAATATACAAAAACAAATATATAATGTATAACATCCTAGTTAATTTACACTATGTATGATAAGTGTACTTATGTGTACCTGTGTCTCAATACTTACACAATAAGTTGCTGAACTCTTCAAGGGCCTCAGAGACAACTTGAAGGATGTAAGTAAACAGCAGATATTTTCTCTATATTCTCCATTATATCATTACCTTAATCTCTGATTACTATTTTACTTTGTCAAAAAATCTAAAGCAATAGCTTACTGATATGTAAATTATTTTTTGTACTCATACAGCTCATTACACTTTGCTCTTGCACTTATATACTATATAGGTGTCCCATGGCTCATCTGATAGCACCTTCATCTCACATACTATGGGTCCTTGGTTCGAGCTCCAGTACAGGTGGGAATATAATATGCTGTAGTATTACAATTTTTCACTTAGCAGTAAGTAGGAACATATCTGGATGTTAGTTGACTGTCAAGGGTCACAGACCAGTTGTTAATATACCTTAGATAAGGCTGGGTTTTGAAATGAGCTGAGGCAGGATAATAATAAATATAATAATAATAATAATAATATAATAAAATAATAATAATAATAATAATAATAATCGTTATTCGTACAGGTACATGATACAACTTATACAGAACATAGCTGATATACTAATATCTTTATTTACTACAAGTACATGGTATGCAGACCTAGCTGACATACTACTATATACAAAGCCGCTTGTTATGCTGACCATTTCGGGCACATTAGGTCAGTGTCCCAGGATGCGACCCACACCAGCACACATAAGGGGGATTACCAACAGACCCCTAGCAGTCTTCAAGCTGGCACTGGACAAGCACCTAAAGTCAGTTCCGGATCAGCCGGGCTGTGGCTCGTACGTTGGTTTGCGTGCAGCCAGCAGTAACAGCCTGGTTGATCAGGCTCTGATCCACCAGGAGGCCTGGTCACAGACCGGGCCGCGGGGGCGTTGACCCCCGGAACTCTCTCCAGGTAAACACCAGCCCACTAACACCCAGGTATCCATTTTACTGATGGGGAACATAGACAACAGGTGGAAAGAAACACGTCCAATGTTTCTACTCTGGCTGGGAATCAAACCCAGACTCTCGCCGTGTGAAGCAAGAGTGTTAGTCATCAGGCCACCATGAAGTCGCGGGTTATACAGAGCATTTCTGGCAAATTAGGTTAATTTTGTCCCCAGGATGCGACCCACACTAGTCTACTAACACCTAAGTACCTACCTACTGCTAAGTAAACAGGGACAGCAGGTGTCTTAAGGAAACTCCCAAGGTTTCTACCCGTACCGGGGATCGAACCGCGAACCTCAGTGTGAGCAAAACTTCTAGTTTTCTTACACCTGCTGTCACTGTCAATTAACCCAGCAACTAATATATACCATTATAGGTTTTAATCTGGGGTGATCAAATGCTGGATGAGACAAAATAAGGTTTCCTTATTCCTAAACGGGTATATAATTAAATACCAAAATAAAATGTTGAATTTCAGCACGTGGATTCTCTTACATATTATTTAACTACACAATGAGAATACCGGCGAATAAAAAAAAATGAGAAAATAACTTGGGACTGGCTTCACACACTTTTATTTATTTATTTATTTATTTATTTCCAATTTGTGCACACATACAGAGGTACAAAAAAAATACAGATAAGAGCAGTATGCCAAAGCCACTTATACTATGCATAGCATTACGGGCTGGCTTAAAATTAACTTAAGATTAACTAAGCAATGATTATTATTATTATTATAATCAAAAAGAAGCGCTAAGCCACAAGGACTATACAGCGCTGCTACTAAGCAATGATGAAATCATGATTAAAACATTAAGTAAACAGATAACTATAAAGCACAAGTGAGTATTACAAAGACAGGTCATATGGTTGCATTCAGTTAGGTAGGATTCTGTTAGGTAGTGTATTTAAAAAAATAATAAAGTTAGATTGGGTTTTAGGTTTAACATTTATGGATATAATTGTGAGAAACATTTTTTAAAATATACAATTTATAATGTTCAGTTATTCAGTATTTATTTGGTTTGGGTGAGTAAGTATCTTTGAGAAGAGACTTGAATTTATAAACAGGTTGTGTTTCTTTTATATTTACAGGTAATGAATTCCAGATTTTAGGGCCTTTTATGTGCATTGAGTTTTTGCATAGTGTGAGATGGACACGAGGAACATCAAAGAGTGATCTGTGCCTTGTGTTATGGTCATGTGTTCTGTTGAGGTTGGCAAGGAGATGTTTGAGGGGGGGTTAATATCAGAGTTAAGTGTTCTATGTATGTAATAGGTGCAGTAATAAGTATGGATGTTTTGTATGGTGAGTAGGTTTAGTGTATTGAATATTGGTGGAGTGTGCTGCCTGAAGTGAGAATTGTTATCATTCTAACTGCAGCCTTTTGTTGGGTAATTAGTGGTCTGAGATGGTTAATTGTTGTTGAGGCCCATGCACAAATTCCATAGGTGAGATAGGGGTAAACAAGAGTGATATAGGGCCAGGAGGGCTGACTGTGGAACATAGTACCGTATCTTCGATAGTATGCCTACAGTCTTGGAAATTTTCTTAGAAATTTGATGTATATGTGTATGAAATTTGAGGTCTATTATCAAGGTGGATTCCTAAGAATTTTCCCTCTGTTAGTTTTGTGATAGGTGATCCATTTATCATTATGTTAAGAGGGACATCTGTAGCTCTGTTACCAAACTGAATGAAGTAGGTTTTGTCAATGTTTAGTGTAAGTTTGTTAGTCCTCATCCAGGTAGATATTTTCTGTAATTCGGTATTTACAGTATTGGCTAGCGTGACTGGGCTCGGGTGAGAGAAGACGTATGTAGTGTCATCTGCAAATAGTGTGGGTTTGAGTAATTGCGAAGCATTTGGAAGGTCATTTATGTATAGGAGAAAGAGAAGAGGGCCAAGGACACTTCCCTGTGGGACACCAACAATTAACTCGCATATAATAGAAAGAAACCTATAACAACTTATGGGTCCTGACTTAGACTATCAACTAACCAGTCACACTCTAGCTCATGGTCCAACTCAGACCGTAATGGTTTCATAAATTTCTTTCTATGTGAGGGTTATTTGTGTATTGTTGCAGTCACGGTATTGTGACTTTGTCTTTTACACTAACGGAGATGTGGAACTAATATGAAGATAACTCACCCACTCTGCTCTCTATGTCAACTTTCTGAGGACGAATTTGAATAATGGTGTCTTCCTGACCATGAGCATCTCCTGTAGATAACTTCTCATCCTCAGTAATCTCCACGTATGACAATGGATCTATCAGATATTCCTCGCAAATTTCGTAGTATTTTTCTATTAAACTTTCATTTTTCTTCGAACACCTTGGAAGATCCGTGAAATTCTAGGAAAAGAATGAAGCATTGGGTCAGAAATAAAAAATGCATGGGGCAGCGCTAAACCCGTAGGATTATACAGCGCCGGGGGGGATGAAACGCTAGATAATTTAAGGAACTGGGATACTCCAATATAGACACTATATATTGTGCCAGAACAAAAGCATTCACATTGCTAAACTCACAAACTATAATGTAGTCACTTAGCCTTAATACCATAATGTGTAATAATTTAAAGTTAAGAATTAATTTAAGTCTGCCCGAAATGACTAGTCATGCTAGGTGTCCTAGTGGCCTCCTCTGTAATTAGTATTTTATAATATGTAAACCACACAATATCCAAAATCTGTAAACCCCACATTGTAATCCTTATAGAGAATAAACTTGATTGAATAGTGGTGTGGACCGTGTGGAAACCAGAGACCTAAGAGAGGTTAGACTAAAGAACATGGCAATGAAGGAGTATTGTATTAGGCCTTCTGGTCCATGCTAAGCAAGTGTAACTCACACTCAAGTTCTTGCCTCATTGACACTACCTGGTAGTGCTTCACTCATCTACAGTTCGAATTCCAAACTAGTACTTCCTTATAGGTTTCTAAATCTATATTTCTCCAACTTGAATCTACTGTTGTGAGTTCTTAAATATTTTCAACACCCTTTATGTACTCTATTTGTTCCAGTCTTCCATTTGTATACGTCAGTCATATCTCCCCTAATTTTACGTTTTTCCAGAGAATGCAAATTTAGTGCCTTCAGCTTATCACTGTAGGCAAGACTTCTGATACATGGAGCATTAACAACTGTTCCTGTGGAACACTTGTACACACACACACACACACACACACACACACACACACACACACACACACACACACTGTTGCAGCATACGGGCGCCTGGCAAACCTGAGAATAGCGTTCCGATACCTTAATAAGAAATCGTTCAAGATACTGTACACTGTGTATGTTAGGCCCATACTGGAGTATGCAGCACCAGTCTGGAACCCACACCTGGTCAAGCACGTCAAGAAGTTAGAGAAAGTACAAAGGTTTGCAACAAGGCTAGTCCCAGAGCTCAGGGATATGTCGTAAGAGGAAAGGTTGAGGGAAATCGGACTGACGACACTGGAGGACAGGAGGGTCAGGGGAGACATGATAACGACATACAAGATACTGCGGGGAATAGACAAGGTGGACAGAGATAGGATGTTCCAGAGAGGGGACACAGGGACAAGGGGTCACAACTGGAAGCTGAAGACTCAGACGAGTCACAGGGACGTTAGGAAGTATTTCTTCAGTCATAGAGTCGTCAGGAAGTGGAATAGCCAAGCAAGTGAAGTAGTGGAGGCAGGAACCATACATACCTGGAGTTTACCTGGAGAGAGTTCCGGGGGTCAACGCCCCCGCGGCCCGGTCTGTGACCAGGCCTCCTGGTGGATCAGAGCCTGATCAACCAGGCTGTTGCTGCTGGCTGCACGCAAACCAGCGTACGAGCCACAGCCCGGCTGGTCAGGAACCGACTTTAGGTGCTTGTCCAGTGCCAGCTTGAAGACTGCCAGGGGTCTGTTGGTAATCCCCCTTATGTATGCTGGGAGGCAGTTGAACAGTCTCGGGCCCCTGACACTTATTGTATGGTCTCCTAACGTGCTAGTGACACCCTTGCTTTTCATTGGGGGGATGTTGCATCGTCTGCCAAGTCTTTTGCTTTCGTAGTGAGTGATTTTCGTGTGCAAGTTCGGTACTAGTCCCTCTAGGATTTTCCAGGTGTATATAATCATGTATCTCTCCCGCCTGCGTTCCAGGGAATACAGGTTTAGGAACCTCAAGCGCTCCAGTAATTGAGGTGTTTTATCTCCGTTTATGCGCGCGTGAAGGTTCTTTTGTACATTTTCTAGGTCAGCAATTTCACCTGCCTTGAAGGTGCTGTTAGTGTGCAGCAATATTCCAGCCTAGATAGAACAAGTGACCTGAAGAGTGTCATCATGGGCTTGGCCTCCCTAGTTTTGAAGGTTCTCATTATCCATCCTGTCATTTTTCTAGCAGATGCGATTGATACAATGTTATGGTCCTTGAAGGTGAGATCCTCCGACATGATCACTCCCAGGTCTTTGACGTTGGGTGTTTCGCTCTATTTTGTGGCCAGAATTTGTTTTGTACTCTGATGAAGATTTAATTTCCTCGTGTTTACTATATCTGAGTAATTGAAATTTCTCATCGTTGAACTTCATATTGTTTTCTGCAGCCCACTGAAAGATTTGGTTGATGTCGCCTGGAGCCTTGCAGTGTCTGCAATGGAAGACACTGTCATGCAGATTCGGTGTCATCTGCAAAGGAAGACACGGTGCTGTGGCTGACATCCTTGTCTATGTCGGATATGAGGATGAGGAACAAGATGGGAGCGAGTACTGTGCCTTGTAGAACAGAGCTTTTCACCGTAGCTGCCTCGGACTTTGCTCTGTTGACGACTACTCTCTGTGTTCTGTTAGTGAGGAAATTATAGATCCATCGACCGACTTTTCCTGTTATTCCTTTAGCACGCATTTTGTGCGCTATTACGCCATGGTCACACTTGTCGAAGGCTTTTGCAAAGTCTGTATATATTACATCTGCATTCTTTTTATCTTCTAGTGCATTTAGGACCTTGTCGTAGTGATCCAATAGTTGAGACAAACAGGAGCGACCTGTTCTAAACCCATGTTGCCCTGGGTTGTGTAACTGATGGGTTTCTAGATGGGTGGTGATCTTGCTTCTTATGACCCTTTCAAAGATTTTTATGATATGGGATGTTAGTGCTATTGGTCTGTAGTTCTTTGCTGTTGCTTTACTGCCCCCTTTGTGGAGTGGGGCTATGTCTGTTGTTTTTAGTAACTGTGGGACGACCCCCGTGTCCATGCTCCCTCTCCATAGGATGGAAAAGGCTCGTGATAGGGTCTTCTTGCAGTTCTTGATGAACACGGAGTTCCATGAGTCTGGCCCTGGGGCAGAGTGCATGGGCATGTCATTTATCGCCTGTTCGAAGTCATTTGGCGTCAGGATAACATCGGATAGGCTTGTGTTAACCAATTTTGTGGCTCTCATAAAAAATTAATTTTGATCTTCGACTCTCAGTCTGGTTAGCGGCTTGCTAAAAACTGAGTCATATTGGGACTAGAGTAGCTCACTCATTTCCTTGCTGTCATCTGTGTAGGACCCATCTTGTTTAAGTAGGGGCCCCAATACTGGACGTTGTTCTCGACTTTGATTTGGCATAGGAGAAGAAATACTTTGGGTTTCTTTCGATTTCATTTATGGCTTTTAGTTCTTCCCGCGATTCCTGACTCCTATAAGATTCCTTTAGCTTAAGTTCGATGCTTGCTATTTCTCTGACCAGTGTCTCCCTACGCATTTCAGATATATTGACCTCTTTTAGCCTCTCTGTTATTCTTTTCCGTCGCCTGTAAAGGGAGCGCCTGTCTCTTTCTATTTTACATCTACTCCTCCTTTTTCTTAGAGGAATAAGCCTTGTGCATACATCGAGTGCCACCAAGTTAATCTGTTCTAGGCATAAGGTGGGGTCTGTGTTGCTTAGTATATCTTCCCAGCTTATATCGGTTAGGACTTGGTTTACTTGGTCCCACTTTGTTTTTGTTATTGAAGTTGAATTTGGTGAATGCTCACTCGTGACTAGTCTCATTATGTCGGTCTGGGGCTCCACGCATACATGTCTGAACCTCAATTATGTTGTGATCTGAGTATATTGTTTTTGATATGGTGACATTTCTTATCAGATCATCATTGTTAGTGAAGATGAGGTCTAGTGTATTCTCCAGTCTAGTAGGCTCTATTATTTGCTGGTTTAAATTGAATTTTGTGCAGAGATTTAAAAGCTCGTGTGAGTGTGAGTTTTCATCAGCGCTGCCTCCTGGTGTTATTACTGCAACAATATTATTTGCTATATTCCTCCATTTTAGGTGCCTTAAGTTGAAATCCCCCAGGAGCAAGATGTTGGGTGCAGGAGCTGGAAGATTTTCCAGACAGTGGTCAATTTTTAACAGCTGTTCCTGAATTGCTGGGATGTTGCATCCGGAGGCTTGTAGACTACCACAATGACTAGGTCTTGGTTCTCGACCTTTACTGCTAAAACTTCCACTACATCATTTGAGGCATTAAGCAGTTCTGTGCAAACAAGTGACTCTGCAATGTACAGGCCAACCCCCCCCCCCCTTTTGCCTGTTCACTCTGTCACATCTGTATAGGTTGTAACCTGGGATCCATATTTCGTTGTCCAAGTGATCCTTTATGTGGGTCTCAGTGAAAGCCGCGAACATTGCCTTTGCCTCTGCAAGCAGTCCACGGATGAAAGGTATTTTGTTGTTTGTTGCTGGCTTTAGACCCTGTATATTTGCAAAGAAGAATGTCATCGGACTGGTGGTATTGTTGGTACTGGGGGGGGGATTTTTTTTCCGGCATTAGTATATGTATCTGTTGGTTTGGAGTGGTTTTGGAGTAGTTTTAGGAAGAGGTATGATAAAGCTCAGGAAGCAGAGAGAGAGAGGACCTAGTAGCAATCAGTGAAGAGGCGGGACCAGGAGCTGAGTCTCGACCCCTGCAACCACAATTAGGTGAGTACAATTAGGTGAGTACACACACACACATGCACACACACACACACACACACACACGTGCGCGCACACACACACACACACACACACACACAATGACTCACAAGAAACGATCAAGAGGTATGTGAGGAGCTCAACACGAGATTTAAGGAAGTATTTACAGTAGAGACAGGAAGGACTCTGGGGGGACAGACCAGATGGGGACACCAGCAAGGAATACATCAACAAGTGTTGGACGACATACATACAGATGAGGAGGAGGTGAAGAAACTGCTAAGGGACATCGATACCTCAAAGGCAATGGGACTGGACAACATCTCCCCATGGGTCCTTAGAGAGGGAGCAGATATGTTGTGCATGCCACTTACCACAATCTTCAACACGTCCCTGGAAACTGGGCAATACCTGAGGTATGGAAGACGGCAAATGTAGTTCCCATTTTTAAAAAAGGAGACAGAAAAGAGGCACTAAACTATAGACCTGTGTCATTGACGTGTATAGTATGCAAAATTATGGAGAAGATTATCAGGAGGAGAGTGGTGGAGCACCTGGAACGGAACAAGAGTATTAAATGCCAACCAGCACGGATTCATGGAACGCAAATCCTGTGTCACAAACCTTCTGGAGTTTTATGATAAAATAACAGAAGTAAGACACGAGAGAGAGGGGTGGGTTGATTGCATCTTCTTGGACTGCAAGAAGGCCTTTGACACAGTTCCTCACAAGAGATTAGTGCAGAAGCTAGAGCATCAGGCGCATATAACAGGAAGGGCACTGCAATGGATCAGAGAATACCTGACAGGGAGGCAACAACGAGTCATGGTACGTAATGATGTATCACAGTGGGCACCCGTGATGAGCGGGGTCCCACAGGGGTCGGTCCTAGGACCAGTGCTATTTTTGGTATATGTGAACGACATGATGGAAGGGTTAGACTCAGAAGTGTCCCTGTTTGCAGATGATGTGAAGTTAATGAGGAGAAAGTGCGAAGGTTTGCAACAAGACTAGCCCCAGAGTTAAGAGGTATGTCCTATGAGGAGAGGTTAAGGGAAATCAACCTGACGACACTGGAGGACAGGAGAGATAGGGGGGACATGATAACGACTTACAAAATACTGAGAGGAATTGACAAGGTGGACAAAGACAGGATGTTCCAGAGATTGGACACAGTAACAAGGGGACACAGTTGGAAGCTGAAGACACAGATGAATCACAGGGATGTTAGGAAGTATTTCTTCAGCCACAGAGTAGTCAGGAAGTGGAATAGTTTGGGAAGAGATGTAGTGGAGGCAGGATCAATACATAGCTTTAAGCAGAGGTACGATAAAGCTCATGGTTCAGGGAGAGTGATCTAGTGGCGACCAGTGAAGAGGCAGGGCCAGGAGCTTGGACTCGACCCCTGCAACCTCAACTAGGTGAGTACACACTCACACTCAGAAGTGTCCCTGTTCGCAGACGATGTGAAGTTAATGAGGAGAATTAAATCAGATGAGGACCGGGCAGGACTTCAAAGAGACCTGGACAGACTGGGTACCTGGTCCAGCAAACTGGCTTCTCGAATTTAATCCCGCCAAATGTAGTCATGAAGATAGGGGAAGGGCACAGAAGACAGCAGACAGAGTATAGGCTAGGTGACCAAAGACTGCAAACCTCGCTCAAGGAGAAAGATCTTGGAGTGAGTATAACACCGAGCATGTCTCTGGAAGCACACATCAACCAGGTAACTGCTGCAGCATATGGGCGCCTGGCAAACCTGAGAACAGCGTTGCGATACCTTAATAAGGAATCGTTCAAGACACTATACACCGTGTACGTCAGGCCCATACTGGAGTATGCAGCACCTGTTTGGAACCCGCACTTGATAAAGCATGTCAAGAAACTAGAGAAAGTGCAAAGGTTTGCGACAAGGTTAGTTCCAGAGCTAAAGGGAATGTCTTATGAAGAATGGTTAAGGGAAATCGGCCTGACGACACTAGAGGACAGGAGGGTCAGGGAAGACATGATAACAACATACCAGTGTCATTGACATGTATAGTATGCAAGGTCATGGAGAAGATTATCAGGAGAAGAGTGGTGGAGCACCTAGAAATAAATGAGCTTAACGACAGCCAGCATGGTTTCATGGACAGGAAATCCTGTGTCACCAACCTACTGGAGTTCTATGATAAGGTGATGGCAGTAAGACAAGAGAGAGAGAGAGAGAGAGAGAGAGGGGTGGGTAGATTGCATTTTCTTGGACTGTAAGAAGGCATTTGACACAGTTTCACACAAGAGATTAGTGCAAAAGCTGGAGGACCAAGCAGGGATAACAGGGAAGGCACTACAATGGATCAGGGAATACCTGTCAGGAAAACAACAGTGAGTCATGGTACATGGTGAGGTGTCAGAGTGGGCACCTGTAACGAGCGGGGTGGCACAGGGATCAGTCCTAGGACCGGTGCTGTTTCTGGTATTTGTGAATGACATGATGGAAGAAATAGACTCCGAAGTGCCCCTGTTTGCAGATGATGTGAAGTTAATGAGAAAAATTCAATTGAACAAGGACCAGGCAGACCTACAAAGGGATTTGGACAGGCTGCAGACCTGGTCCAGCAACTGGCTCCTGGGGTTCAACCCCACCAAGTGCAAAATCATGAAGATTGGGGAAGGACAAAGAAGACCACAGACAGAGTACAGTCTAGGGGGTCCAGAGACTACAAACCTCACTCAAGGAAAAGGATCTTAGGGTGAGTATAATACCAGGCACATCTCCTGAGGCGCACATCAACCAAATAACTGCTGCAGCATATGGGCACCTGGCAAACTAAATGACGCTGGTGAGGGGCTCTTGTTCCAGGGAATTGGATCTGTGCTCTGGTTCCCTGAATTGAGTCTGAATACCTTCCATCCCACCCACATGCGCTGTATAATCCTACGGGTTTAGCGCTCCCCCATGATTATGCTCATGCCTGGCAAACCTAAGAACAGTATTCCGACATCTTAATAATAAGGAATCATTCAGGACCCTGTACACTGTGTATGTTAGGCCCATATTGGAGTATGCAGTGCCAGTTTGGAACCCACACCTAGCCAAGTATGTAAGGAAACTAGAAAAAGTGTGAAGGTTTGCAACAAGACTAATCCCAGAGCTAAAGTGTATGTCCTATGAGGAGGGTTAAGGGAAATCAACCTGACGACACTGGAAGACAGGAGAGATAGGGGTGATACGATAACGACATATAAAATACTGAGAGGAATCAACAAGGTGGACAGGGACAGGATGCTCCAGAGATGGGACACAGCAACATGGGGTCACAGTTGGAAATTGAAGCTTCAGATGAATCACAGGGATGTTAGGAAGTATTTCTTCAGTCACAGAATTGTCAGGAAGTGAAATAGTCTGGGAAGTGATGTAGTGGAAGCAGGATCCATACATAGCTTTAAGCAGAGGTATGATAAAGCTCACGGTTCAGGAAGTGACCTAGTAGCGAGCAGTGAAGAGGCAGGGCCAGGAGCTTGGACTCGACCCTTCAAACCTCAACTAGGTGAGTACACACAATCTGAAGAGTGATGTAGTAGAGGCAGGATCCATACATAACTATAAGAAGAGGTATGATAAGGCTCTTGGAGCAAGGAGAGTGAACCTCATATCAACTAGCGAAGAGAAGGGACCAGGAGCTGTGAATCAACCCCTGCAACCACATGTAGGTGAGTACACAAACACACATACTAACTCACCTCAACATGCACATGTTGCTGAGACATGTACATATAATTACCTACAATAATAATTGAAGTCATCCTAGGATACTTGTGAACAAGTGGATTAATATTACAGTTATGGGGAAATGCTAAACCTGTAGGGGTCATACAGCTCCTGGGAAAATGAGAGCAGTCAGAATCAATCCAAGGATCAAGAGCTCTGGATACAAAATTGTTTATCCTAATGACTTAATTTGACAACTGGAATATTAAAAACGATTACAGTTCTTTTAAACAAGTGGTAATGACTTTCTAGCTTAGGAACAAAGCTTCAATACTTACTCTAAAATGATTGAAATATTAAGTAGTTTATTCTTCAAAGACAAGTCTAATGAACTGTGATTATTATTATATGCATGGAGAGGCATTAAGGGTCACAATATTAAAATAAAATAAAGTGTTAAACTGGCAAGGGTCATGCAGTAAGGGTCACATTACTCGTACAACATATGGATAATGGAAGGTAATCAGGTTTGACCCAAGCAGAAGGTAGCCCCACTTCCTTGAATCAAGAGCCCTCAGCAACATGTTGATTTTGAAGGGAAGGAAGATGGTGTAAGAAATGTACGTATATACGTATAACTAAGGTAGGTAGCAGCTCACCTCCTTGCCACACCACATGCAGCCTGAGCGGATGCAGTCTGCACAAGACTTGCGAGTGTTGCAGTCTGGGGTGTAGGATGCACACATTACCCACACCACCACCATCATCACCATCACAATCACCCTTTGCATCATGCACAAATTTTGCTCGGAATGTAATGTTTTATTTGATGAAGAAGATGTTACTGTAACGTGACTGAAACAAATCATTACCATTACACAAATAACTTTCACATACGAGACTGAATTTATGATGAAGTTTTGGTTAAATTTGGACCATCATTAACATATTAGAAATAAAATCATGACATTTTAGTGTGAAGGAGACAACACCAATCAGTCCATTTATCATCATAATGTTATACAAGGAGTTGCTACATGTCAGTGGCACACCAACAAAATCAACATATTCTTAATGTCATCACTGCCTGGCTTCACTGGGTCTACAGGTGCTGTGCTGGAATGTGAAAAAAACATTAATCCAGATACATTTCATCAGCAGATCTATTCTTTGATGGTGTCCCATGGCCTGGTAGCCAAAGCTTTCGCTTTGGGCATGTTTCCTTACACTTGCTGTCCCTGTTCACCTATTATTATTATTATTATAATCAAAAAGAAGCGCTAAGCCACAAGGACTATACAGCCCTGTTCACCTAGAAATAGGTACCTGGGTGTTAGTGGACTGGTGTGGGTGGCATCCTGGGAGACAAGACTGAAGGACCACAATGAAAATAAGACAGCCAGTTCTTGATGATGCCCTGACTTTCTTGGGTTATCCTGGGTGGCTAACTCTGGGGTTAAAAATTTGAACAAAATCTCTCTCAATCTATCTACTTCTTGATATAAAGTCAAGAAGTCAATTAGCTAACCAGAACAATTGAATCTTTCTTTCACATTCACTTTGATTTAGATTTCTGATATTAAGTTAATAGGTGCTGTGGTCATTTTCTTTTCCCACGAGTACAGCCTTACATTTGTCTATTAATAGCACCTTCCACTTTTTTTTTCAATCAAAACAATGAGTTGGTTACACAATTGTGAATTAACTTTGAAATTACAATTAAGCATATTTAATGATAAGAGACACACTTGTCTAATGAACTGGCAATTATCATTAACATATTAGTATGTATAATAATAATTATTTTATGTTATTATTATATTCATTAGGAAGTGCTAAACCATTTTCTTTGAGGGTAGCAACAATTCTTTGGAGCACCCACTTGAAAGCGATGAATTGGTAAAAATGTTCCATTAATTAACCAGGTTACAATGACTGAGATTTCTACAGTAGATGAAGTAAAGATTCTTTTTTTATTATCACACTGGCCGATTCCCACCAAGGCAGGGTGGCCTGAAAAAGAAAAACCTTCACCATCATTCACTCCATCACTGTCTTGCCAGATTATTATTATAATCAAGGGGGAAGTGCTAAACCCGGAGGATTATACAGCGCCTGGGGAGGGGAGGGATGTTGAAGGCATTCAGGCTTAATTCGGGGAACTGGAGCACAGATCCAATTCCCTAAATCAAGAGCCCCTCACCAACATCAAGGAACCTTCCTTGAGGGGCTGTCTTGCCAGAAGGGTGCTTTACGCTACAGTTTTTAAACTGCAACATTAACACCCCTCCTTCAGAGTGCAGGCACTGTACTTCCCATCTCCAGGACTCAAGTCCGGCCTGCCGGTTTCCCTGAATCCCTTTATAAATGTTACTTTGCTCGCACTCCAACAGCACGTCAAGTATTAAAAACCATTTGTCCAGTAAAGATACTGGACTAAAAGTTTTGGTAATGTGTCATCATGAATGAAATATCAAATGAGAAGTTTAATCTCAAGTTGGTCCTAAGTTTGCCTGAAATACTCTGCCAATATAGGAGCTTTAATAGAAACAGTGTATCATGCCAGGATACAACCATTCCCATTATATACTAAATTTACTAACTGTAATATTGTTATATGTTTTGTACTACCTCACTATTATCAATCTAATTAATGATAATCACTTCAATTACTTTTTACATCATTATGAATTATTTTTTTTTTCTATCACACTGGCCGATTCCCACTAAGGCAGGGTGGCCCGAAAAAGAAAAACTTTCACCATCATTCACTCCATCACTGTCTTGCCAGAAGGGTGCTTTACACTAGTTTTTAAACTGCAACATTAATACCCCTCCTTAATGTATATTAAAATGTACTGCTCCATAACCTGTGCCAGTACAGAGTATGAATTAGGATTAGTCTGCCCAAAATGCCTAGGCATGCTAGTGACTTTCTTTGTAATTAATATTTTATATGTAAACCACACATAGTAAGCTTTGCAAGGAAACGAACAATTTCACTTGGGTCATCCTGCCAAGGCAGGGTGGCTCAAAGAAGAAAACACATTCACCAACTTCACTTAATTGCTGTCTTTCCAGAAATATGCTGATACCCCAAAATATCTAAATACATCCACTTCTGCCATACTTCCTCCCTCTAGTCTGATTGCCAATCTATCACAGTCTAGACTTTTTGTTACCCCCATTTCCTTGCTCTTTTCTATGTTCACTTTTATTTTCTTTATTTACATACCTTCCTGAATTCATTATTATTAAATTTATTATTATACATGTATCTAGGGGAAGTGCTAAAGCTGTTGGGATGATACAGCACCTGAGGAAATGGGAGGTAATCTGTTGTGATCTAAGGACTGAGAAAGACAAGTCTAGGTTCATGGTACAATTAGTATTATTATATTTGTGTAAAGTGCTAACCCTGTGTGGGTTATTCAGCACAAGAAGTGGTGGAGGCTCGGTCCTCCATGCACTAATAATGAGAGGGACACAGTGCACTTGCAGCCAGTGCACCAGCATCCAGCCAATGAGAGACTCTTGATGCAAGGAATCAGTCTCATCCTCCCCTTCCTGGGGTCCAACCTGATTGCCTCCTCTCCTCCATTATGGGAGAGTGCTAACCCCCTATGGGTTGAATGCTTTCCCATAAAGAATAAAAATAATAATAATGATAATATAAATCAGCTTAGGAATAGCTAAAGAATATCTAATGAATGAAGCTTCAAAAAGGGAGGAGAGTGATTTCTTTTATTGTAAAAATTAATTGTAATGTAAGCATGATCTAATATAGTAATTTTTGTTACTGTATTAGTTACTTATATGACTCGTAAAATTGTAATGACACGATTGCTGCGAGTTCAATCCCCACCAATACCATGACTATTACTATTAATGAGATGGCATGTACATACCATATACTTAACTACATAACCACAGGGCCCTATTTAATTATTTTTTATTAACACATCTGCCGATTCCCACCAAGGCAGGGTGGCCCGAAAAAGAAAAACTTTCATCATCATTCACTCCATTATTGTCTTGCCAGAGGGGTGCTTTACACTACAGTTTATAAAACTGCAACATTAACACCCCTCCTTCAGAGTGCAGGCACTGTACTTCCCATCTCCAGGACTCAAGTCCGGCCCGCCGGTTTCCCTGAATCCCTTTGTAAATGTTACTTTGCTCCCCACTCCAACAGCACATCAATTATTAACCCTTAAACTGTCCAAATGTAGAGCTACGTTTTTTTGGGTAGTGTTCTGAACGTAGATCTACGTTTTTTTACATTGTTTCTTAGGAGAAATCCAGGTCGGAGCACTACGCGTGGAAACGTAGATCTACGTTTGGACAGTTTAAGGTTGAAAACCATTTGTCTCCATTCACTCCAATCAAATATGCTCACGCATGCTTGCTGGAAGTGCAAGGCCCCCGCACACACAACCTCCTTTACCCCCTCCCTCCAACCTTTCCTAGGCTGACCCCTACCCCGCCTTCCCTCCACTACAGATTGATACACTCTTGAAGTCATTCTGCTTCATTCCATTCTCTCTACATGTCCGAACCACCTCAACAACCCTTCCTCAGCCCTCTGGACAACAGTTTTGGCAATCCTGTACCTCCTCCTAACTTCCAAACTACAAATTCTCTGCATTATACTCACACCACACATTGCCCTCAGACATGACATCTCCACTGCCCCCAGCCTTCTCCTCGCTGCAACATTCATCACCTATGCTTCACACCCATATAAGAGCATTGGTAAAACTATACTCTCATACTTTCCCCTCTTTGTTTCCCAAAGGGACAAAGTTCTTTGTCTCCACAGACTCCTAAGTGCACCGCTCACCCTTTTCCCCTCATCAATTGTATGATTCACCTCATTTTTCATAGACCCATCCGCTGACACGTCCACTCCCAAATGTCTGAATACATTCAGCTCCTCCATACTCTATCCCTCCAATCTGATATCCAATCTTTCATCACCTAATCTTTTTGTTATCCTCATAACCTTACCTTTTCCTATATTCACTTTTAATTTTCTTCTTTTACATTTTTTTTTTTCAACAAGTTGGCCGTCTCCCACCGAGGCAGGGTGACCCAAAAAAGATAGAAAATCCCCAAATTATTATTATTATTATAATCAAAAAGAAGCGCTAAGCCACAAGGACTATACAGCAGAAAATCCCCAAAAAGAAAATGCTTTCATCATCATTCAACACTTTCACCACACACACACATAATCACTGTTTTTGCAGAGGTGCTCAGAATACAACAGTTTAGAAGCATATACGTATAAAGATACACAACATATCCCTTCAAACCGCCAATATCCCAAACCCCTCCTTTAAAGTGCAGGCATTGTACTTCCCATTTCCAGGACTCAAGTCCGACTATATGAAAATAACCGGTTTCCCTGAATCCCTTCACTAAATATTACCCTGCTCACACTCCAACAGATCGTCAGGTCCCAAGTACCATTCATCTCCATTCACTCCTATCTAACACGCTCACGCACGCTTGCTGGAAGTCCAAGACCCTTGCCCAAAAACCTCCTTTATACTCCCTCTCTCAACCCTTTCGAGGACGACCCCTACCTCGCCTTCCTTCCCCTATAGATTTATAATGCTTTCCATGTCATTCTACTTTGATCCATTCTCTCTAAATGACCAAACCACCTCAACAACCCCTCTTCTGCCCTCTGACTAATACTTTTATTAACTCCACACCTTTTCCTAATTTCCACACTCCGAATTTTCTGCATAATTTACACCACACATTGCCCTTAGACAGGACATCTCCACTGCCTCCAACCGTCTCCTCGCTGCTGCATTTACCACCCAAGCTTCACACCCATATAA